TAGGGAAGAGAGGACACAGGGAAAGAGAGGAGGCAGGGGATTAGCAAGGATGGTGAAATGTGATGGACACCATTATCCAAAGTACATGTATAAAGACACAAATTGGGTGTCAACCTACTTTATATAAAAATAGAGATATGAAAAATTGTGGTATATATGTGTAATAAGAATTTTAAGGTAAAAAAAAACTAAGTACATGTAGAAAGACATGAATTGGCATGAACATACTTTATACAAAGATATGAAAAATTGTGCTCAATATGTGTAATAAGAATCATAATAAATTCTGCTGATGTGTATTTTAAAAAATAAAATCAATAAAAAATAATAAAATAAAAAAGGGAGTGGACTTTTTCTCCCCACTTTGTTTCACCTAAGGATAAAAAAAAAAAAAAAAGAAAGAAATAGTAACTTGGGACTGGAGATGTAGCTCTGTTGGTAGAGTGCTCGCTTAGCGTGCACTAGGCCCTGGGTTCAATCCCCGGCACCAAAAAAAAGAAAAAGTAGGTAAGTAAGTAAGAGTATGTGTCAGAATGTACTCCAAGAAGACTTTCCTTCCACAAAAGAACAAAGGGAGGTGGGAGCCACTAAAGTTATATTTTCTTTAAATAACTTAATAGGAGACAGTAAAACCTTGATGAGTTGGGAAGACTGTACACCTCCTAGTACTCAGCCAGTAAGGAACCAGGGGAGGAACCCTGTGCTCTAAGGGATAAAATACTGGTTTACCCAATCTGTGCATGTTTGATCCCACCAGATACCTGGTCTCACAAGACCTTAATTAAATTAAAGTCTCGTTTTTTGGGTTGTTGTTGTTTGTTGTTTTTTTGCTGTACCTTCTCTCTCTCTCTCTCTCTCTCTCTCTCTCTCTCTCTCGCCAGGGATCAGGGATTGAACTCTGGGGCACTTGACCACAGAGCCACATCCCCAGCCCTATTTTGTATTTTATTTAGAGACAGGGTCTCACAGAGTTGCTTAGTAGTGCCTCACTTTTGCTGAGACTGGCTTTGAACTTGTGATTCTCCTGGCTCAGCCTCCCATGCTGCTGGATTACAGGCATGTGCAACCACACCTGACTGGTACCTTGTGTTTCTTATCCATTCTTTGGTATTAGACAGGTGAGCAGGTTTCTTACATTTTCTGAATCAGGTTGTTCACCTTCCAGAAACACACATAGCACTTAGTGTGGGGTTAAGAACATTTATTACTATACAGTATATATGTTTATCTACTCCAAACTGTAATCTAGATCAATATGAAGTCAGAGGCCAACTTTGTCTTGGTCTATATTTTCCTAGTACTTAATAATTAAGTCCAAGTTTATGGCTGAAGCTCAATAGTTGATCACTCATTGAATAAATAAATTGAGGAAGTATTAAAATATTAAATATTAAAGATCACCTTGAAGCATGGCTTCCTTTCGTGGGGGTTATGAGTTTTATGAGTCCCTTGCCCCACTTGGGGAATAGATTCATAATGATAATCAGACTCTCCAAGGAATTGGGAAACTTTTAACAAGTTTAACACACACTTAAAAGACACACACACAATTTTCAATGACCAGTCTTCACTGCATTCTTTCCCCTCTATGACATTCATCAGTTCACCTGCACAGATCTGCAAGGTCTTCCCTGAGGATGCTCACCAATTTATTGATTCTTTCCTACTAGAAAGTTTAGCGTTCTCTAAGACCTCTGATATTTGACTGAGTACTGCCTTTCTCCAGATTATTTGTAAAAGTGTTAAGTAAGCCTAGAGCTAATGTCAATCCTTGAAGAAACCTATTCCTTAAACTTCTCAACCTTTTCTTCTTACCGTTTGTTTTCCTTTTCTAAGATAGTTCTTTTACCATGATTAAACCTCTCATCCAACCTCAAAGAATGAGGATTCATTATTGATTTTCCAATCTTCAGTTCTATAGAAATTGCATTTTTCATACCTTTGAAAGTAGGAAGATAATGTATAACACACATGGATCCTCACTTTTAAATATGTCAGATGAGGAAGTGCTATCTTCCTACTGCCCAGCATATACATGGTATAATGAAGACTGACCTACCCGTTGTTAAAAAAAAATACATGCTTCATTAACAAATTGAATACGATTATTTTTAATCTTTAAAAAAGAAAACATGATGTAATTTGAAAATTCTTGTTAGATGTTATATTCATGGTGTGGAAAAGTTCTTATTTAAAATATTGTGTGCTAAATGAGATTGATCATGTCCTAGGGACCAGGAGAAAAGGACTTCTGAAAACTATCCTCTAAACAAACATAACTTCTCTGACCTTGCACAGTGCATATTTAGTAGTATGCTAACAAGGGTCCTGTATGACTTTACCAGTCAGTCACTCTTAGGAATAATAATAATAATAATAATAATAATAATAATAATAATAATAACAACAACAACAACAGCAACAATTATTATTATTATTTTCATCCAAAGTAGAAATACCAAAGTTAATTTTTCAGCCCTAATTTTTCCCCATTAAGATAGAGTAAAACAAACTTGAAAATACACACATATATTATTTCTCTCTAGATAGCTTAGAGCAGTGTAAACAAAGACTTTTCATGATCTGGTCTCCTCCTAGTCTCCCAGTCAACGCCTCCCCTGCTAACCAATAGTAGTCCTGCCTCAGATCTCCATCTTCCAACTCCTTCCCTCATTCACCTGCAAGTCTCATTTACTCCTACAACTCCTTCATATCTATCCTCAAATCTTGCCCTCAGGTGAAGCCGTTCCTTAGCACCTAAAACTATATGCCCTCTTAGCTCCCTAGCACCAATATTTGTTACTATCTATCTACTTTCCTGATCTTTTAAGAAATATTTCTTCTAACTCCTCTCATTTTCTTCCAGGATTCTCAGTATATACATGTAAATCTGAGATAGTGGCCATGGCTATATCTGACAATGAAGCACCTGAAATGTCTGATCCCAACAAACATATAGTAAAATGCAAAATAGACATTGATATTAAAGATTTTACATGAAAAAAGCAAAGTATCTGATTAATATGCTAATGCTAATAACATGTTGAAATAATACTTTCTATCTGAGTTAAATATCAGTAAAATTAATGTCATCTAAGTTTCATATATTCTCCACATTTTAAGTCTATTAGACAAAAACATAGTGTTACACCTTTTTGTTGTACATCTACTATATTTTTTTCTATATATTTCCTTTTCTATATATTTCTGATTGGATTGTATCCACAACCACTCTTAGAGAAAATGCGGACAGTAAGACTGTCCCTGAATGCTCTTTCTGTTTCTGAAATCCTAGCCAAGGGAACAATGAGAGAAAGCCTGGGCTAGAATGTCCAGATACATATCATCTTGAAGGACACTAGCTTTCTAATCATAAACACAGGGAACTAGACTGAGTTAGTGTTATTTATAAAAAGCGACTTTCTTGTATGAACTCCAGGAAAGGGACAATTAGTTCTTGAGATGCTGGTCCTAAAAGCAAATTAAGAAAGCTAATGGTGATGATGTTACTGCTTCTGCAGCCTAACATCTAAACCCCTTCTCAGTGGCAACTGGCACAGAACTAATGGCACTATGCAAAGGACACATGCTCATCCAGCAGACTACCACTGGACAAAGTGCCATGGAGGAGAGGAGACACCATTTGCTTAAGCACCTTCATCATTTTGGTGAAGGACAGAGGTGCTGTCAGCCTGTCCCCACTGAACTCTTTGAGCAGTTACAGATTTCTTGTAAACTTTCCCTAATAAATCATGTTTTATATTCTGTGTCCAGTCACTTCCTTTTCCCTTCTTCTTCTTCTTTCCTTACCCAGCAGTACTGAGGATTGATCGTAGGGGTGCTCTACCACTTAGCTAAATCACTAGCCTTTTTGAGACAAGATCTCACTAAGTTGCTAAGGCTGGCCTCAAACTTGTAATTCTCCTGCTTCAGCCTCCTGAGTCATTGGGATTAAAAGTATGTATGACCATATTTATATTAGAAGAAATATTTCTAAAAAGATCATATTCAGCCTTTCTTTGGCCTCTTTCTTTGGCCTTCTCACAACCTACAATGGTACTACTGGGCTATGGATCTGACCCCGTATCTAATGATCTTCCAGTGCACCAAATTGTAATTATTTTTGCTTGTCTAAACTGTCAAAATTCTTAATTTCATGTTCTATATTTTCCAATAAACTTCTAAAATTTCCATTTTTTCTTTCATTTTCTGAGATGTATTCATCTTAGAGTCCTGATCTAATGACTCCAATATGTGGATTATCTACATGTCTATTTCTTGTATATGTATAGTGTGTTCATATGTCCTATCTCTTAGCATGCCTAGCAATTATTAACTGAAATACAGACACTGTATATATACTAAAAAACAAAAAATTAAAAACAAAAACTTAGGAGGCCTAAGATGATGATGGGGCTACCAGATGATTCACTTTCTTCTCTTAGGAAGGAAAGGTAAATGACATTACTTCAATCCAACCAGGAACTAGCACCTTAGGCTAAGTGGAAGTATTGATAAGACTAAATTTTCTTAGATTTTGTCCATTTCCCAGAGCATAGCTCTCAAGTGTTCTTGACATTTCCTCAGTAATTCCTTTCTGCCCCTTTTAAAGCTAGACTTCTAGACTCTTACAATTTGAAGCTTCAGATTTTAGTAAACCTCATTCTGTAAACTGACTCTGCTGAGGTCTTTCTAGTCTCCTTTTTTTTTTTTTTTTTGCCAGTTTAGTACCACATAACTAACAAAACTTGGCAGCTTTCTTTATACAAAAGTACAGGCTACAGTATCATCTCCCTGGAAAGTAGACTTCTTTAAAAAACTTTAGGTCCTCTGTTCTTCATTGCTTCCACAGTCCTTGGAATTTTTTACAAAATCTGTTCCTGGGGGGAATGCTGAATGGCTACCAGTTCCATCCCCATCTGGAAGTAGCAGCTTGCTTTAGCATTTTTTCTTAACACTCTTCATATTTTTATCATTTATTTGTCATTTTCTTCCTTCAGTAGGATGTAACCTCCAAGAGGTCTGGTCTGCCTCCCAATCCCAGAGTTGTACTATTATGATTTGGATCGGATGTCCCCACCAAAGGCTCATGTGTTGAAGATCTGGTTCCCAATGTGGCAATGTTCAGAGGTAAAACTTTTGGGAAGTGATTGGAATATGGGGGGTCTGAACTCATCAATGGATTAATCCATTGATGGATTCGCAGATTAATGGGAGGTTTTAGAAAATGTAGGAAGTGGGACCTATTTAAAAAGTGAGAGCTTGGGTACTGTTTCTTATCCACTGGACCCTTCCTGTTACACACTTTCTCTGTTTCTTGGGCAGTTTTGCTCCATCAAATGCTCCCTGCCATGATGTTCTGTCACTGTAAGTCCACTGCAATGCAGCCAAGCAACTACAGACTGAAACCTCTGAAACAGACAAAATTACTTGGTACATTAAGTGTAGTATGCCATTACCTGTATAAGTGATCTAGAAACTGGTTAAATATATGGAAAATAGGGTTTTCTCAAGTTAAATGTAAAAGCTCAGAGAAATAAAATAGACTTTTTTTTTTTTTCAGTTACAACATATCAGGAGAAAACTGCAGGACTCCTTTAAATTGCTTTTCTCAGTTATTTTGTCATGGTGATAGAAAGCTGACTAACATATTATCTACCTTCAAGTCTTAAAAAATGTGGAAAGAATAAAAGAATGAACACATGTCCATTGCATTGACAAGATGGGAGAAACCTGAATAAATGTAATTCTTAAATTAAAAAATTGAGGGCCAGGTTGTGGCTCGGTGGTAGAGTGCTTGCCAAGAATGGGTGAGGCATTGGATTCAATCTCGGCACCACATAAAAATAAACAAAATTAAAGGTACTGTGTTCATATACAACAACAAAAAATTTTTTTAAATGAATTGATTTGTCTCACAATCAGTCTCACAGCCAGTATCACAGAAATTTTTTCTACCATCCTTTACTAGGTCCCTCCTATGTGCCAAACAGTGTTATTAGGAATATGGTGTTCAAAAAAGGTACAGCATAATCTTTACTCTAAAGAAACAGACTGGCAAATAAGGATTAAAAACACACTTATGACAAGAGAGCAGCATTGAATTTTTCAACACATGAAGACCTTAACTAACAAATCTCTTAAAGTTTTTTAGGGAAGTTACATTCTTGCTCCTAAGATTTTCCTTTGATTCTGTTCAGAACAATCTGCCAGCTCTTTTATAATAGCTTTCAGGGCCAGCAGCATCATAATGGTAAAAAATTTTCCCCTAAAAGTGGACTGATTTTAGAAACAATTGGAAGCTTTTTGGAATGAAGTTTCATAAAAAAGGAATCTCATAAAAATTATTTCAAGCCAATGAAGGAAGACTATGAAGAAAATGGGACTTCTCTTTATTTTCTAAACTGATTTTAAACCAATGTCAAGAAACTTCAGCTGGATTGGGTGTAAGGCTTAGTGATAGAGCACTTGCCTAGCATGTACAGGGTCCTGGGCTTAATCTCCACCATAGCATGGGGTGGGGCAGGGAAACTAATGACAACAACAACAAAGAACAGATCTTTAAAATTTGTAAGCATTGCTGAAACAAGTATTTTAGTGTTTTCTTTCATTATTTTAGTCCTATGGTAAAACATAATTTTCAGATACAATTCCCACCGAAAGGTTAAACTGAAGAATACAGAGAAGAAATGGTGTGTGAGGAACATAGGGACATATATTCTCCTCAGGGTAAATGAGAGCACTTAGATTTCTTGAATTATGCATTTCATGGTTTAAAATGTGACAATTTGCTGTAGTATTATTACTAAGCAATTTTTAAATAATGGACAATGTTATTTTTTATCTCCTGATATTGAACTATGTCCATGTTTGTTTTCCTCAAATACCTTTGTTTACCCACTAAAAACATATTTTATATAACATAATTTTTGATCACCCTCAAATGTGAACTTAAAAAAATTTAATAAGAAACAACTGTGAAGAAAAAAGTAACTTTTCTATTTTCAATTGCAGAGCAAACTAGGCCCTCAAAGAGGGTAGAAAGAAGGAGAGAGAGAAGCATTATAGATACAAATAAAGTCAACTACAAAAATTAAAGTTGGCTGCAAATAATGGTGGTAAATAAACTTTGCTTATATCTTTAATATATACTCTTAAAATACATTCTAAAATTTCTATTTATAAACTATTACAGAATCCCAAATGTTCACTGAAAAGTATCCGAAACTGACAAGCCACCCTCTTAAAAACACTTTCTTTTATTTAGATTCCTGAACAAACAAGCTTTCACTTTGAGTCTGTTACTAATAACAGAAAATAAAGCCACCCTGAAAGGTCAACTTTCTTCTGCCTCTTTTTTCTCTCTGTCAGTCATTCTCAGATTACTATTAATAACTCAGATTAGTTCCTTTAGCATTTTTTGGACAATACAGTTAAATGGATTTTGTCAAATTAAAACCACTACCACAAATATATTGATATTTTGTAACATTTTTATGGAAGTGTTTTGATTGGATAGGATTGACACATGCCCATAAATGCAAGGAAGTAATTATGATTATATTATTAGCAGTTATTGTGGCAATAATTTCAGAAAATGGTTATATCCATCTGTCTAAGAACACAGACTTAACATAAAATGAAGTCATATTCATTACATGAAAGAAGTGATTAGAATTTTGCAGTAAAGCCAGCTAAATGTGTTTCTACCAACCTCCAAGTTTAAGTTTTAATGCATTTTTAAATGTTTCTGGTCTCAAAACATTGAACAGCTGACAATTTTCCCCAAGAGAACAATACCTTGAGGGGAAAAGCAATTAGAATATGGATTGACCAGCAATCAGTAATCATTACTTGGTACATTAAATGTAGTATGCCAGCACCTGGTTAAGTGATTTAGAAACTAGTTAAAATATCTGGAAAACAGGGATTTCTCAAGTTAAATGTGAAATCCCAGAGTGGGGGAAAAATGAACTTTCTTATATTTATAACATATCAGGAGAAAAACTGAAGAATAAAGTTTTAGACAGTTAAAATTGGATGAACATATTTAAGGCAATTGGAATCAAAGGGATTGAAGAAAAAAATCTGGCATTTCTGGCAAGTTTAAATTCCCAAAGTTTATAATTTGTAAGAGCTGATGATACATCTCACATCAAGATTTAATATTTCTATGAAGGTTGTTTAAATAAATGCTACCATTTGAAAAGAGCCTTTATTAAATTCTTAAACTAGAAAAGAAATGAAGTTACTAAACTAGTGAGAAAAGAATTTCCACAGCCCTTTACCACTGACATCCCTGCACCTACATGGCTGCTGTCCACAGACTCTCCCTTTCCTCCCACTTCTGTAGACTAGTGGTCCAAGCTCTAGCAGATTTCCTCCATTCATGACCCAGACTCCACTACCTCTCATTCAATGACAGCTCTCCTGTAACTCACTTATCTCTTCCTAACATCATCAATCTTTCCCCACTTCACTGGATTACTCTCTGAAACAAACAAACAGGCTAATCTCTCTCTCTCTCTCTCTCTCTCTCTCTCTCTCTCTCTCTCAAAAAAAAAAAAAAATCAGGACTCATTGAATTCATTCCAATTAGGTGTTTTGTTCCTCCCACTCTACAAAACTTCTCCAAGTCACCAGTAACCTCCACAGTACCAAATCCAATGGTCACTTTTCGTTCTTACCTTATGAGACTTCTCAGTAGTACTATACAGTTGTCACTCTTTGCTCCCTGAAATTCTTGCTTTCTTTGGCTTCCTGATCATCAGACTTGCATGGTTTTCTTTTTCAGTGTTTTATTATTCTTTCTTTCTCTTATTAAGCCCTAACTCACAGCATGTCCCATGTCCTTGATCATCTCTCTTTTCTATCTACACTCAATTTCAAAGTAATCTACTCCAGTCACATTGTTATATCATTACCTGCTTCTAATTTTCAAATTTCTGTCTCCACAGCCCTGACCTATCTCTGGAATGTATATTCTGAATTTTTTTCATCTCTTCATACATGTACTTAGGGTAATGATGTCCATCTCATTCCAACATCTTTCCTACCCCCATGCCCACTCCCTTCTCCTCCCTCCCCTTTGCCCTATCTAAAGTTCCTCCATTCTTCCCATGCTCCCCCCGACCACAATCCCCATTATGTATCCACATATCAGAGAAACCAAATATTCTGAATATTTTTAATGAGGTATATTCCTTTTCTTGTAACAGTAATGATTTTTAAAAACACTGCTTATTTCTGAGTTAAAAAAGGATTATTGTTTGTAAACAATTAGACTAGTTTAAAAGTCCATTTGCTCAAAAAACTTTGTTGACACATGATATTTCTTAATTAGGATATAAAGATGAACAAAGCAATCTGAAAACTGCCTGTCTCCTAACACCTGGACATAACAACTTTTAGACACATATAAATTCATTAAAATCTATGAGAAAATACAGATCTATGCATATTTGAAACAAAATTGTACCTGCTAAAAAGTTTTTAAATAAACATATATTGCTTATATTTTTCAGATGAGTTCCTTTTTTTGGTACCAGATATTGAATCCAAGGGTGCTTAACCACTGAGCAACATTCCCACCCCTTTTTATTTATTTTGAAATAAGGTGACACTAAATTGCTTAGGGCCTTGCTAAATTGCTGAGGTTGGTCCCAAACTTTCAATCCTCCTTCCTCAGTCCTTCAAGTTGTTGGGATTATAGCTGTGTGTCACCATGCCTGGCTCGGATAAGTAACTTGTAAGTGAGCCTGTAATTTTATAGAATCAGTAGTCTAATGTGATTTTCTTTTGATCTTGCAAAATAACAGATAGGTGACATTCTAGAAAGATTGTGCTGAAAAATTACCTTGGTATATTGACAAACATCACTTTACTATAGATGTTAACAAAATAAATAATTATTATCTGAAATGCTTGGAAGCAGAAGTATTCTAAGATTTAGAATTTTTTGTTGGGCATGGTGGTGCATGATTGCACTCAGCAGGCTGAGGCAGGAGGACTGCAAATTTGAGACCAGCCTGGGCAATTCTGCAAGACCCTGTCTCAAAATTTAATAAGAAAGACTAGGGATGTTGCTCAGTGGTAGAGTGCTTGCCAAGAATATACGAGGTCCTTGGTTCAATTCCCAGTACTACAAAAGAAACAAAAAATAAAATATTATTATTATTATTTTAGAGAGAGAGAGAATATTTTAATATTTATTTTTTAGTTTTCGGTGGACACAACATCTTTATTTTATTTTTATGTGGTGCTGAGGATCGAACCCAGCGCCCTGCGTATGCCAGGCAAGCATGTTACCGCTTGAGCCACATCCCCAGCTCCTGTTATGATTATTAAATGAGATGATATATGTAAATATCAGCATAGTACCTGAAAGGCTTAACAAATCCTGGCTAATAAACTAATATAATGGTAATAATAAACTTGTTTACTAACTCTCATGTTTTTCTAACTCTTTCCACAAAAGCTATTCAAATGAACAAGCAAAAAATAAAACAAAGATGAAATTCATGCTGAGCTCTGAATTCTGCCTGAAAGTTTTAAAACAAGACAATTTATTACTAAGAACAAAGCTATACTTTGAAATCAGTTTGTTCTGTCAAAAAGACAAAAACACTCAGAGAATGTAATTGAATGACTATAATGCTCCCTGGCCAAGAAGCCAGGCTTTAGCTTGCTCTTTAAAGTACATGCAAGTGAGCATTGTTCTTACCATTTTAATACAGACTTTCCACCCCTAAATTGGC